TTGCCCCTCAAGGAGCGGGTCTCCCAGTCCAGTTGGCTTTTGCTCAGCTTGGTATGTCATGCCTGGGCTCAAGCCAGGGAAGAGCTTAAGGCTGTACCAAACCCACTTCCCTGCTTCTCCCCACTGCTTTCCCCATGGAGCTGTTTCACACCTTAATTGCAGCTGGCTTACTGCCCCTGCTTTTTGCAGTTCCCTCTTGGTGTTTTGGGTAAACATAGCCTTTGAAGCTGATAAAACTGTGCATAGTCTTAGCCCTGGGGTGAAGACAAGATTTGTGCAACTATTAAAGACAGAGCCGTTGTGTGCCTAAATCAAAAAAAAATTTTTTCAAGGTGTTTTTCCGCCCCACAGCTGAATTCAGTAGACACGCTCCTTTTAGATAGGATCAGAAGCCACAGAAACTTGCTGTTTGTCAGGTGGAGATTGATGTTTCTCAAGGTTTGCAGAGCAGAACTGGTGCAGAGCTGCAGCCAAGCTGGGCCTGCGACTGCAGCGAGCAGAGCACAGCACATGGGGCTGGCAGCTGGGCCAGGATGCCCATGTGCCGCCATCCCCAACACTGGCAGCTGCCTGCTGACCCTTGGAAACCTCTGCCTTTAGGGAGGGGTAGAAAAATGTGACCTTGAGGAAAAATCCCCTCCCCTGCCCTTTCTCTCTCACCTCCCCCATGCAAAACCCCTTGCCTTTGGGTTGGGATGGCTGTGTTTCACACTGTTGTTTAGTGTGTCTTAGGGTTGTTCTCGCTGCAAGAGCTCTATCACAGGATGCTGCATCCCCACATCAGGACTTAAAAAAAAAGACTTGTGAGAAAATGCTGGATTTATGGTCTCAAACCCCTTTTTCCCAAAACAATGCCCTGAGGCAGGAGGGGACTGGTCCTAGAATACACCCCATATTCACCATGCCAGCAGGTGGGCCACCTTCATGGCCATCTCACGGATGGCTGTTCAGAGATCTGGGAGGATTCTTTTATTTAGAGAGAGGGAGAGATAGTATATGTATATAAATCTTACACATATATAAATATTAATAGCTAATAAGTTTTTGGTTTACATTAATTAGCTTGTATCATTACATTACAAGCCTGCCCTCTTGTTTTCTGGCTCCTTGGCTTTGCTGTGTCCCAGCTAAGCACAGCAGTGTCCCCGGGGGCTGCCAGCTCTGCTGGGGGACAAGGTGGTGATGTCCCTGCCTGAGTCACAGCGGCCACAGGACAAGTTTGCTCAAAGCAGGGCACCGCAATGAGACAAGGATGACAAATAGCTGAAAAGCCTCAGCTCACCAAAGCGAGGGATCTCTGTGCAGGGGCCAGTGCCGTGGGTGTTTGCTGGCATGTAGCTGAGTGACTGACATTGCTGTTCTCACCCAGGGGAGGTGGCCACCGTGCAGGGCACCAGCTTCGATCTCCGGCAGCCCGTGGAGCTGGGGAAGCACTTGCAGAAATTTTGCCTCGACGGCTTTGACCACAACTTCTGCCTGCAGCAGGCACAGGCTCGACGCCTTGTGGCCAGGTAGGCTGGGACCCTGACAAGGGTTCCCCACCCCTGGAGCCGCAGGGCACCCGTTCGGTGAGCCCTGCGGCATCCTCCACCGGCATCTCCCCAGGGCTTGCCACCCGCCCACTGGCAGGGCCATGGAGGTTCACACCACCCAGCCTGGCATCCAGTTTTACACTGGGAACAACCTGGATGGATCCCTGAAGGGCAAAGGCGCCGTTGCGTACCCGAAGCATTCAGCTTTCTGCCTGGAAACCCAGAACTGGCCCGATGCTGTCAACAAGGTGAACTGTCCCCCTACCCCTGGGAGCTGCTCAGGTCCTGTGGCAGGAGACCATACCGCCACCACCCATGTTCTCTGGGGCATTACATACATGAACAGAGTCTATTTGGTGAGGGGACGCTTTGTAGATGCCAGAACTGAGGCAGGCACAGGTCACAGCATCCTGCGGCTTTAGGCAGGTGTTGGCCAGTGTGGTGGGGACTGGCCCCATGCAGTCCAGCTTCCCAAGGGCACGGGGTCTAGAGCAGAAGACCCCACCGGGCCTGGATTCAACAAGGGGGAGGACTCACCCACTCAGCCAGCTGGCAAGTAACAACGGGCGGCTAAATACTGCTGCTGGAAATGTGTGGGTCACCACCCCAGGAAGGCGGAGGGGATGCGGCTGTGCCCTCATGACTCTTTCTGGTCCTGTGGTGTGTGCTCACAATCAGTGACGTGCTGCTGCCTCTCCCCAGCCCCACTTCCCCAATGCACTGCTCCGGCCGGGCGAGGAATACAATCACACCACATGGCTCTTGTTCAACGCTGCCTAAGGAAAGCGGATGCTGACTCCTACCACCAAGAGGGGTAAGTTCCTCTAGCAGGTTAGCCAGAAATCCTGCCAGGTGCCGAATGGCACTTTCAAACTACCCTGGCTGATGCATCCCATTTGGGAGCTTTTTTTTCCTCCTCTGTGGTTTTCACCTGTGGCTTCTGCTGGCTTTTAACTCCTGTCACCACCTCTGCCGCTATCTGGTCTGTGCAAAGCTCTCACCCTCTGTCCCGCCTCACCCTGGGCATTAGGTTTTGTTTCGCAGTAAAAAATGCACTGAAAACACCTTGATAAGGACATGGCATGTCACAGCTCAAACTACAGCAGGGGAATAATCCGGTAATATTCATGTGAAGCACACGGGAAGGCTGATAAAGTTGTGGTTGTTCGTTACAACATCAGCTATTCCCAGCAAAGTGCTCCGAGCTGCGCTGGCTGTTGCTCTCTCCCCACCACTGACCTGCCCCACAGCTCAGTGTCAACTCATCAAAGGGTGCCCTGCCCTTCCCATGCTGGGCAACAGGGCAGCCCTGACAGCCCAGCCGCCAGGTCTGACACCAGATGTCATTGTGATGGCACATGTACGCACTGGTCACACAGAATGGCTTTGTGGAGGACAGCATGCTGGGATTATCCAACCAGCAGCAATAGCAGCACAAGAGCATCTTCTGCGCTATGCCTTGGCTGCTGAAGTGAAGCAGGTGCATCCATCTATATTCCTGAATGTACAACTGCAGGAGGAAAACTATCAATCATCTTCGTGTTGTGTTTCCACGTGAAATATCCCCAAAAACCTGTATCAGGGGCCTGTCTGATGAAAACCTCCACATTTCTGAGGTTTCATAAAAAATTGGCACAAGCCAGGGGAGTGGCAGTACCATCACGTTAGGGAGCTGGCACCCCTCTCCCCAGGGACACAGGGGTAGCCAACCCTTGGGCCAGGCACCCCGTAGCCTGACTCCCACCTCCTCCTGCCATGCTGCTGCCCAAGGGGCCAGACAAGCCCCAGCTCCCAGAGGCAGGTTGTGGCCAGGGCCCACAGCACTCCAGCATGCTTCCTTGGCTGCGGAGCTGTGGGAATGATCTTGCCCCCAGTGGAAGTGCCTGGCCACGGGGCTCGCAAACGTGACAGACCTGTCACTTTGACCCCCCCAAAACGAGCACCCTGCTACTCTCCTGCAATGCCCCAAATGCACTGGATGTGCACAGTGGTCACACGTACATGGCTGCAGTTCATGCTGTGTAAGGGCTGGTATCATTGGGAGAAAAAAGCGCAGCTAATCCAAGATCGGGAAACACTGGGTTGCAAACCAGAGCAGAAGCACCATCACCACTATGTGAGCGGCATTTGCCCACCATACTAGAGACCGTGGCTACGTGTCCCCTTGCCCCCTACCAGGCTGCACACACCCCGCAGTCACAGCAGCAGCGGTCACACAAACACCATATGGAATTTTTGGTGAAATCCTACCAAATTCAGGTGAGAGCTGGAGCTGCGCAGCCTGCTCTGAGGACAATGTCCAGAGCTGAAGGAGGCAGCACAGCCATCCTCAATTTTGGTCACCACAGCTGCGGAGAAGCGCGGACACCAGATTTGCCACTGTACCTCAGAAGTGCTGACTGTCGTTCAGTGGCTGCAGGCCCCGGGCACGGCCCCCCCCCGCCAGCACAGCCCTGCCTCCTTGCTCAGGTTCTCACTCCTAAGCCTGGGTTTAAAGGAACCTTGCAGAAACCCAGGATCCTCCACTCCATCATCCACAGTGTCTCTGGGTACTGAAAAACAGGTACCAGTACGGCTGTCATGTTAGTCTGCAGGTTTATTGTGGAGTAGGTTTGCCTTAAGAGTACAGAAGAGAAAAAAGCTGATCAAATTCCAGAGCAGCAGTGGACATGTGCCTCACCAGGGACACTATAAACCAGGCAGGCAACGCACAACCGATAAATATTCCAAACACAAGTCACAAGCTTTGGGCCTTTCTGCAAAATCACTGCAGGGCAACATTTGTGTCACGCCCCCGCCCCCCCACTTTCCTGTTGCAGTGACGGTGGAATTTAATGGACATCGCCAGAACATCAATCATTGCAGGCGGCAGACGGAACGCTCATCCCCATCACTGACTGTCCAGGCAGACACCAAGCACCACAGCAGTTAGGACAAGGCATCAAGGCCAGACAATGCTGCAGCATGACAGCACGTTCAGAGCCTGGACTATTTACTCATACACCGAAAAAGCTCCATGAAGTCATTGTTAACAGGAAACCTGTTTTTTGAAAATCATAGGTTACTTAAGGTGTAACTGAAGTTAATCTTGTAATTTTTTTTTTTCCCATTTAAGATGCTCTGCTGTGGTTTACATGCTGGGAGCAAACTGTCATGACAGATACCACAAGAAGTCCAAACAGGCCTCACGTTCCATTTTAGTGCTTGTTTACTGCCAAAACCGGCTTTTATTTCTGCTAGATATCCCACTGCAGTAAAAAAATGTTTGCTTTTATCTCCTCCGTCTACCTGTTCGTTTGGTCACAGTCTAACACTATTTCCAGTCTTTTGCTGTGATCTGTGTCAACGAAGTGCCTTATCATGCAATTCTTGACTACAGAATGAGGACAAACACAGAGTTTGACATACCTGTACACAAATAATGAATCCTGCAGGTGTGTATTTGCTGTAAGAAATTAGCAATCCCATCTCTGGGATCTGGGCTGCTTTAAAACCATACCCATTTCTGTGAGGCAGGTTAGAATTGCTGAGGTCAGCTGTGAGAATCTTTCACACTGAGGAGGAAAGTTTGAGTGAGCTGCAGAAAGACTAAGAACAGCTTTGCTTTGCCTCTCAAACACATTATCCTAAGGTCTGTCAGAAAGTAGGTCAGAAGACATTACATCTTCCCTCAAAAAAGGAAAACATGCCTTGAGACATTTTAAGAAGTTTTTGTTATGTTAATAGCCTGAACAACTAAAAAATGCAACAAGCAAAAGTAGCAATCGTCAAGTAATTAATGATTTCTGTTACGTTTAGAGGTTTCTGCAGATGTTTGTTTAAAAGATGTCAGTGTTTTGAATAGAAGCTTGTCCTTAAATTTTTGGGCATCTGGTATCACAACTAGTCACGGACCAGAGAGTAAGCTTTGCAGAATAATTAGATCAAGGAGAAAAATGAATGCCCACTAGATATAATAAAGGCATAAAAAGGGCATATGCAAATTTTTAGGCATCTGCAGACAGAGATGGATTTTAAATTCTATTTCAAAGAAAGCAGAAACTGATCCTTTCACCAAAGGCCATTGAACAATAGATGTGAAAAGTGACTAGTTTGAGAAGACACCGATATTAGTCATTCCCATTTTAGAAATTTTTCATCCACATTACATGGCACACAGCTAAAATTACCCAAATGTTAACAGAAGCAGCAGGGTTACTACAGAGAAGTTTTAGTTAAAAATACACATTTTATTTCAATGTGCCAATAAAAAAGTCCCACATTTTCATATCACAGGAAGTTAATTCATACAATAAAAAGAGACCTGTGCTAGTCTATTGGTGTGACTAACTTAGAAGACCCAGATCATGCCAAATTTTAGTTGATATACTCTTCTATCTACATTCTTACATTTACAAAGACACCACAAAATCCCTTATAATAATGTAAGCAAAATAACTTTCTTCCTAAAAGATTAACTTCATAACTTTAATCCATTCTTTCAGGACTTGCACTTCTTTGAGGGCTTCCTGATGGTGAACGACTGTAAGGAAAAGAATCCACGGTTAACATTTCAGTAGTCATTTGGGCTTCACAAATACAGGAAAAAGCAACAGGAGGATACCTAGACTACTCTGGCACCCTTTAAGCACTGGTTTTTAATAAAATAACCAATCACTATTGACAAAGTTAATGGGTTGATGACTTAATGTTAGAGAGAATACATTTATTTTTTTTTACTTTCATATTTTTGCATTTCTCTACTGTTATTTTTATAATACAATTTAAATGTGAACATTGTAAAGTCATCTAAAGGGTACTACTAATAGCGACCTTCAGGGAGGCAGGATACTTCTTCACTGCTCTGATACAGCAGCTTGTCAAACCTATCATGGTGATTAGTCAGCATTTATGAGCATTTATTCAAGCCCTTTGCGATTGTTTGTGGGACTAGACTACAAGCAGCCATGTTTTTAAGTGAAGCAAACCTAAGTGTAGAAGTTCTAAAAGTATGTAAAAAAAAAAAAAAAAAAGAAGAGAGAAAAAGAAACAACTTGCAGGGCAGAAAGATCACCAAAGCAAGGGACACATCCTGGCAGGTCTACAGCTATTCTTACTGGGATATATCCTCAATACTGTAGTTGTAAAAATGAGCTACTAAAAGAACTCAAGCTAGGGAAAAAGTGCTGCTGATTCTGTCACTACACATATATGTATATGCACAGAGAGACAATTATTTACCAATTTATTGGGAAAAAAATTAATCTGAGTAACAGCAGTAAATACAACAGGCTCAATCTTCCATTCCTGACTGCTACGCCAGCTTACTCCACTCTATCTTCCCCAACCTCACAGTAGCTTTTAATGAGACTCAAAGCTGATGCCCACATTTATTCTGTGCTTTAAGCTCACCAGTAGAAAGTCTCTGTGCAATAAAACTGTTAGTGAACTGAAATGAACACAGAAGCAAAGGCAAGACATAACACTGCTATGTAACCAGTATCAAGAGGAATTATTACCACATCTATATTACAATATATAAACCCACGTTATTTCTGCCCAAGAGATCTCAGCAAAATACCTTTCCAGTATTTTCCTACAAGCAGCAGTCAAACTCCTCAGCAGAGATCACTGCAGATACTAAAATGCCAGCTCTACGGAGTCAACGTTATTAGTAGGGAGATCAACATACCTTCTCTTTGGAGATGGTGATCGGGACTTTGACCGACTGTCAAAACAGAATATCATCAATGCAGCTTAAAGGTCAAACAGAACTTTTATATTCAAAAAAATAAGCATCT